ATGAAGGGTGTTCCATTAACTTGGACCGATTTTAAATGCGTATTATGTTTAAGAGTCTAATGGTTTTTTCTTTTTCTTTCAAATTTAAACAACTTAAGTCTTTGACAATTTCAACCATGGAAAGATTAACAATCAAACAACATGTTAAAGTTATCGAAAGCCTATTACGAAAATGGACGTTCAAACAGAAATGCATTTCACGGACTTTGCGATTTTTTGGTCAACATAGTCAACCAACCGAGAGTGCAATTGGAAAAATTGTTCGTAAATTCAAACAAACTGGATGTGAAAACACCATTGAGTGCTCGTTTACGCCGTTCAGCTGAAAACATTGCTTCAGTGTACGAAAATGTGGCCGAAAATCCAGACACCTCTATTCGTCATCGCGCGCAGGAATTGAACATCTCCATAACAACATTACATGGAATTTTGACAGAAGATTTATCTCTACACGCTTACAAAATTCAGTTGAAACAAGAACTGAAACCTGCTGACCATTTGGAGCGCCGTACATTCGTCAATTGGGTGCATGAGCAAAGACAAACAGATGAAAATGTTTCGCAAAAATCCTCTTTATTGATGAAGCCCATTTTCATTTTGGTAGATTCGTTAATAAGCAGAATTGTCACATTTGGGCTGATGAAAATTCAAAGAAGATTGTTGAAAAGCCACTGCAATCACAAAAGGTCACTGTTTGGTACGCATTTTTTGCTAGCGGAATCATTGGGCCGGATATTTATAAATTTGAACGTCCATTTTCGTTATGGGCTTTGATAATTTTAACACGTTGTTTGATTAGCGATTTCAACCATGTAAAGATTAACAAAGACTTAAGTTAAATCTGAAAGAAAAAGAAAAAATCATTAGATGCTTAAACTTAATTCACATTTAAAATCGGTCCAAGTCATTAGAATACTCTACACAACGCAGATAATTTAACATACTTTAGACTAAACTAAATAATTAAGGTAACAGCCCTCAAATAGACAAAAATCAAAATTAATAAACAAATTAATAAACTCCAAATGCACACCTAGACACAATTGAATGTAATAACAATAATAATCAACAAATTGTTAACTAATGAATAATAAATAATAGGCTGGTTAGTTGTTTTTGTTTATTGGTACATCAGCCTCGATGTGTTATTTAATGCCGAAGTCTAAATATTTGGCATATAATATTTTTCTTTAGAAAAATAATGGCTTTACTTACACAAGTCTTACTAATTAATCCATATTTGGGAGGAAGAGGTGGACTCATACCTTTCCCAAATGTATTTGCCTGCTAATGAATATAACGAACCTAGCTGGGATTCGAACTCGGCTCTCCGATTAACAATTCCGAGACATTATCCAAGGTTACGGCATCTGTTATTTAAAAGCGTTCACCCATCTAGATATTGGTCAGGCTCGACGTTGCTTAATTTCGGTGATTGTACGGGAACTGGTGTTTCAACGTGATGCGGCCGTAAGCCATAAATAATGAGTAAAAAAAAATTAACAAACGACACTATAAAATACTTACAAATAACGCCATTCAGATCCATAATTATGCCTACTCAATAGCCTCTAGAATAATTTGGAATATAACCATTACATCCCAACTAATAATACAGTAGACCTTGCTACACATAATGCACCATTGTCCAGCATATATAAATAATCGAGTCAACACGTAACGCACATGACCTGAAGATTTTGTACAGGCATGAAACGGACTGTCGCCGCTCAGTGTTGATCACAGTGTCTACTTTATATATAAGGACCAACCTTTTTCGAACCTTGTGGACTGGCGCTACAGAATCACAAGCAGAAACTGTATCAAATAACAGAAGCCACGTCTCTTGAGGACTTTTCAACAGCAGCAGCAACAACTAAAATGGATAACACATGTAACTCTAAGCGAGAACGATGAGAATCACGATGTCAGCGTTCCACACTACTTCGAACAAAAAGTTAGGAAGGAAACGTCCATAAATACAGGAAAGAGAAATGGTAGTAACTAGACTTGAGAAATCTATTCTCCTGAAGAAATCGTGTCAAGAGAAATATCTTATAAAATTCAAAACGAAAGTAACACTGGCTGCTTGGTCAACGAAAACTAAATTTTTTAAAGGAATCGACCATAGTCGGGATCATTGGGTCAGTGCGAACGGTCCTTTCCTTAGCTCTATAGTATGTGCTTGGACAGGGCTACATACAGTTTTGAATGCCGTTTTTCTTCTCTTAGACCGGTCACCATCCAAGGCTATAGAACCAAGTCTCTCCTACTATTTACTCAGTAACCTTTTCCAATGTTATTAGCACGTAAGTGAATGTAATGTACTCGATTGGAATTCGAACTCGGCTCTCCGATTTCTCAATCAGATTCGTGCCTCCGTAGAGTTTTAAGAGAACGGTTAATATTACCATAACCATATCTACACACATACACACACTAATAAATAAAATTAAATGTGAATTTATCTTGTCTCTACTCCGAGTTTTGTGATGATTAAACCCAGTCATTAGGAGACCTGACTGTAAATGTATTACAATTTTATTTATTACTATTAAATCCCTTTCTCGATATCAAAAAGTGCAATTGGCTCGTTCTATCTAAAATCAACCAGTAGTCACAGGTGTACCTCTCAGAAAAAAATATTCTGGGTAAATTCACAAAATAATTGAACCCCGAAATGGAAGTCTGTCCAGAAAACGAAACATCTGTCACACGATCTTCAGACATACAAGATGTGCTAAAAATATAAAAGTTTTATTACCTGCCTAATGATGTCATGAATATAGGCAATTTTAAAGATGTTAAGAAAATAGTGTTGTTTTCAAACAGCAATACTGATCTTCCTATAACACAGTGTTTCTCAACCTTTTTAAACAGCGGCACACTTAGGAGCAAATGAAAATATCACAGCAGACTTAGCAAAATTTTTAAAGGGTAGACATTTAAATGTTATGAAATAAAGTCACAGATTAAAAACAAAAATACACGTACAAATATGGACCTACTTTATGTCAATGTTTCTATACAACTGTGCAGCTTATTTAGTGTGAAAACTGAGCCTGGTGTTTTTTTTTCGCGGCACACTTAAGAGGCTCTTGCGGCACAAGTGTGAAGCGGCACGGCGATTGAGAATCACTACCCTTAAAGGAATGAATACGATTACTACATCATTTGCTTCGTCCACCGCAAGGAAATTTGGCTCCCTGTGCCGCGCCAGGAAATTTTTCTCCCCGGAATCGATCCTCCAGATCTACAAATCAACAATTCGCCCTTGCATGGAGTATTGCTACCATATATTGTCAGGAGCCCCTTCTGTTTGCCTCGGGGTTCTTGATAGGATCCAGAGGCAGATATGCAATATAATTGGCCCTGATCTGGCATCTCGTCTACAGTCACTTTCTCACAGACGCGCCGTCGTCTCTCTCTGTCTGTTCTACAAATACTTTCATGGAAATTGCTCCGAGGAGCTGCATTCGCTGGTTCCCAGACGTCATGAGTCCCAGCGCCCTACGAGGCTGGCATCCAGCTCTCACCCCTTCACTGTCGAAACTCCTAAATGTAGCCGTCTCTTCTACTCCAATAGCTTCATGTCTCGCACCTCTCGCCTGTGGAACTCCCTTCCCTATTCCATTTTCCCTGAGAGCTATAATCTCCAGCTATTCAAGTGCAATGTCAATCGACATCTCCAGTTGCCTTGATCTATCCACTACCCTTCTCCTCATCCTTTCTTCTATCTCTCCTATCTGATCTTGCTCCAAATTTTCTGTAACCCCTTGCGTCCTAGTGGCTTCTCGCCTTGCTTGGGGTAAAATGCTTAAAAAAAAAAAGAAAAGAAAAAAAGGAAATCATCTATTAGGCAATAAATGACAGGTGATTTAATTTGGTTACGGTGTCTGTATAGTGGAGTAATGGATAGCGGCTCGGATTGAGGAATCGGAGTGCCGAGTTCGAATTAAAGTCGAGTTCATTGCATTCGCTTATATGCTAATACCCTTGCAAGGCCTTCAAGCAAAGCACAGGTGAAGTCGAACGCAGTCGGCTGGTCAGGTAATATCAAAGAGTTGACGGACATGGCAATGACGGAACTTCGAGAGCCTCTGCAAAAGAGACTGTAGGAGGTTGTCTTTTTATTCTGAACTCGGCCCGCGCCCCGATGATTGAAGAATTTGAGGGACTGATGATCTGGATTTGTTTTTATAGCGAATTACTAAGCGTAGTTTAGAGGTGCCCAAGGCCGAAAGTATGGGACACCCAGTGAGGACTGAACTCGCTAATCATTCGTAACTGATCTAGTGAGCTTGCTAGCCATTATACCACGTCAGTATGTCCAAGTGGATTTGTGTTCTATGCTTACCGAAAGAAGTCATCGTCCACTTCCCTCACATGCTACTAATCTACGTCATTGTCTGCAGTCGAGATGACAGTCATTACTATCTTCATTATCCTTTCTATCTCTGTATATGTCTTGCCAGTGTTCTATACGGTTTTGAATTATGAGTTGCCCTTTTCATAGACTGGTTGCCAACCTAGGCTAGAGAGTCAAGTCCGTCCTGCTATTTAACGCATAATGGGGGGGATAGGAGAGAAGATAGGTTCATACATAAAGACTGATAAGCCGTAACAAACCAATCAATTATCGCTTCAGAAGTCCGCATTGCTTGATATTCCAAATATTCTGAGAAAGGCGCTGCATGAGGTCGTCCGATATGTTGGATCGATTAATCTGTTTTTTACGGCTTATCTACCTTTTTTTTAGGTTATTTAAAGCCGAAACATATTTTTGAATAGTAAGAATCTTTTTGTGATAATAATGATTTTCTGACACAAGTTTTACTATTTAACCCATAGATGCGAGGAGAAGAGGTGGAGTCATACATTTCCAAAAGGTATTTGCACGTAAGGGAATATAACGAACCGGATTGGAATTAGAACTCGACTCTCCGATATCTCATTCCGAGCCTTTATCAATTACGCCATCCGCACATCTAAACACAAAGCATTTAGTATTCCCAAACGATCACTCATCCAGGTAATGACCAAGTTCAACGTTGCTTAACTTCGGTGATCTAACGAGAACCGGTGTTTCAACGTGACATGGCCGTAAACCCCAACTTAATGGAGGGAAACCATAATGCTATACTTCCAATAGAAAACAATATAATATACGTATTAAATATTTGATATATTCTTTCAAGGTGCAGTCAAGCTCTGTGAAACCGTTTATATTACAGAGGACGGATATATTTAAACTGAATTTGAACTGTAGCGTTCAAAAAACGATCTAGGATGCAACCAACAAAATTTTGTCTACTTTACTGTCAACAATTCAGTTCTTGATAATGATAGGGGCGGTTAAATTTATTTAATAAAAACAATAGAATCATGGACTTTGAGCAGCTTATCCAAAATATTGATTTGAATGTACACCCCACCACACACATAAAACTCCTGACATACTTTGTCAATTGCATTTAACAAAACTTAAATGAATTCTTGCTTATATATATATATATATATATATATATATATATAGAGAGAGAGAGAGAGAGAGAGATAGATAGAGATTTATCGATAGATATATAGATACATAAAGATAGAGAGAGAGAGATTTATAAAGAGAGATAAAGAGAGAGATTGATAAAGAGATAAAGAGAGAGATTGATAAAGAGAGAAATTGATAGATAAAGAGAGAGATTGATGGATAGAGAGAGAGGGGGATTGATGGATAGACAGAGAGAGAGAGAGAGAGAGAGAGGTTGATAGAAAGAAAAAGAGGTTCACGTGTCATATTTATTAATAATGAACATTCAAATCGGGTAATTGAGAAAATGGTTCTGATTCAATCTATCAAAAGGGGGTTTTTGTCTACTGGCCTTGAAAAATGAACATTTCAGATTGGAGGCTTTTACCTGGGTTCGAACACTGGCCGTTGGCACCGGCGAGAAAAACGCCTATCTTTCCCACAGGCCCAACACAGACTTGTATCTTTTACACTCATATAATTAAAATCATGCATACAGCAAAAGATACATAAATACACACATTTCTAAGATGAATGCACACAGAAACAATTTTTTTTCTCCTTCAATCATGATTTGATGCTGACGGAAGTAACCGCCATTTTGTGTTATTTGTTCAGTGCAGGAAATCCTAAACCGGAAGTAGACACTTGGACATACGAATTCTTTAAATTGGATCTAAATGGCTTAGTGAAGGGTAAAGCAAAGTATCCAAGAAGCTGGTATAAATACGATGGTTGTAACACAACACACATGAGTTTGGATTTAAAATATCTCAATGGGATTCAGCTCACTTGAAAGTTACACAAATATATGTAAGCTCATCAAGGCAACAAAGAAGCAAAAGAAATTGAAAAGACATTATCTGAGGCTATTTCCATTTGTTTATTTCAAGATCTTGTTAGATTTCTATGTCTATCATTTAGGCTCTACCTGGCTATACCTCTCACTCTCCGGCTCAGGTTTTTCGAGGCTATATCTCTGAGGCTCTTTGAAGACATCATACATATATATATATATATATATATATATATATATATATATAATGAAATGAACTAAGTCCAACAATTATTATAATATATTTTCTGTTTATACGTTATTTTTATAGAAACAAATATTTAAGTAAATGCTCTGTTTATAATAAACAGTATTAGCAAGATTTACCTGCGTGAATGTGCGAGAAATCTCAGAAAATATCTGAACTTGTATCGTACACGTCAGGCTATATTGATTTTCCAAGCGTAGCTTAGATGTGGCACAAGGCCGAAAGTATGGGACACCCAGTGAGGATCGAACTCACTACACAGTAGTAACTAAGCTGGTTTGATAACTATTACACCACGTCGAGGTGCCCAATACGTCAGGCTATATGACGGTTCCGAATTCATTTTTTTACTCGTATCTGGCTTGTTCCGAGTAACTTTTCCAGATTATTCTAATATCTTTCCCAAATAAAATTTTCCTCAGATTTCAAATGGATCCGTGTGTTGTGCCTTATCAAATGCGTTTGCGTAATTTATTAAACACACACACACACATTATATATGTATATATATATTATGAAATGGTTAAAGTCCGACAATTATTTTTAGACATTTTTATGTTTATACATTCTTTTTTATAGATACAAATATTTAAGTAAATTGTCTGTTTATAATAAACAGTATTAAACAACATTTACCGACCTGAAACGCTCCTCTGTGGCCAAAACGGTGAAAGGCACATCAGGCTATATGACGGTTCCGTATAGAAATACAGGTTCGATTCCTGTCGGAGGACGAATATTTTCTATGAAAATTTCTCGGACATTCAGGCCGGTAAAGGTTGTTTAATATTGTTTATTATAAACACAGCATTTACTTAAATATTTGTAACTATAAAAAGAATGTATAAACATAAAAATGTCTTATACATATGGTAATACTAGTTTGGAAACATTAAAAAAATATTATAAATATAAGGCAAACGATATAAGTTATGTTCTCTCTGTATGGAGGAAAAAATAGCTATCGCTAACTACGAGGAACCTAAGAATTTATTGAACCAATAATCGGAAATTCTTAGTAGGTGTAGGTATAGAAAAGGCTGATTATTAGAATAGAGGTTTTTGTTGTTTTTTTTTGTGTCGTTATTGGCTTATCAATAAAGTAACATACCCTGTTTGTTGTTTTTTTTCTTTGTGTCATGTGGTTATGGTTTTTATCAATAAATATTTTGCGTTATTTTCCTTTTTAGCCAGTTTTACCCTGAAGATCCGTTTAGGTGAAACCTAGGTAGGTTTGCCTGGCTCCTTAGTATTATTCTTATATATATATATATATATATATATATATATATATATATATATAAAGACACATTTTTATGTTTAACATTCTTTTTATAGATACAAGTATTTTAGTAAATGCTCTGTTTATAATAAACAGTATTAAATAACATTTACCGGCCTGAATGTCCGAGAAATTTTCATAGAAAATATTCGTCCTTTGACAGGATTCGAACCTGTATCCTATACGGAACCGTCATTTAGCTTGACGTCACTTACCTCTTGGCCACAAAGGATCGTTCGGTTGGCAAGGTTTATAAGCTGTAAATTCGACCTTGCCAACCGAACGATCCTTTGTGGCCGAGAGGTTAGGCACGTCAGCGTAAGTGTAAATTGTCGGACTTTGTCCATTTCTTAATGTGTGTGTATATATATACGTCCTTGTGCATTTTTATTGTTCGTTCTAATAGCATTTTGATCATAAGGGTCACATTTCCTCTTCAAGTTCTAGATATTTTTGCATTAATTCGTGTGTGTCCCATGACTCTGGCTTTGAAACTAGATTGTTCATAATTTTCATAATCCATAAACCGTTGTTAACTGGGGCAAGAAATGGCTTGTTAATTTTAACGCTTCCAAAACGAAACTGCTCTCTTTTATTCGTCTCGCAGAAGATTTTTGCCTTCCAGCAGCACGGCTGATGCTAACCTCCAGGAAAGTGGCCCATTGTACCTTCATGGGCAAACGTTTTCCATTGACATGAAGTGGAAAGATTATATTGACACGTCTGATGTCAGGAAAGTTGTTTCACAGTGTCTTGTCAGAATTTATCTTACATATTTATAAGACTACCATTTGTCCATGCATTGAATATTGCTTTCACATTTGGTCTAGTGCTTATGTTATGCCTTTACATATTAATAAAATCCAAACAATTATCTACAAGGCTATGGGTTTTGACCTGGCGACACGGTTTCAGTTCCTTTCCACCACGGTGACGTAGCTTCTCTCTGCCTTTTTTTATAAATACTTTCATGATAATTGTTCTTATGGACTTTCCTCTATGGTACCTCGACTTTACGAGTTTAAGCGCAGTACTAGATTGGCAGCTAGGTCACATCATTTTACAGTTGAAATTGCTAGATTTAACCGTAATGAACGCATGTTTAGCGTCTCTTGGTCTTAGTCGGCCTCTCGCCCGGGTGAGGGAAGCATATCGACACGTCAGATTTCTAGAGGCTCTCTTTTTTTAAATTCGCACCGTTTTGCGCTTATATCCAAAACCCAGACAAAGGTAATCTATCGCTGTCAGAATACCACGCCCACGAGCCTTCAGGTCAATCGCCGATCATTGTGACCCTGGCCCTTGCATTCTGTAACACAGGAAACGAAAATAAAAAAGATGCAGAAGACAAGGAAGTGTCTTACTATATTTAACATATACAGTGAGGCGATCCCGAGAGAACTAGATGTCTCACGAGGATTTATTATCGGCGGACACAATCTTAACTACATAAGATATGTAGAGGACTCAGTCTTAATAGTCGATACAAAAAGGAAGCTGCAGAAACTTCTATAAAAGATAGTAAAAGAAAGTGAGAAGAACAGACTATCAAAAGAAGACAGAATATACGGTTGCCACCAAGAGGAACAGCCCAAGATGGGAATTATAATTTGGGGACATTTAAATTTTCGTTTTTGCATGCTTTGGGTATCTGTGAAGTGTTTTAAAATGTAAAACCAAAATCTGGAGGACCATTGGACTAACGAAAGATGCCTTCCAAAAGCTATTAATACTGCATTAGTCACCTCGGATTTCCTAAAATGTATATTCCCCTGTGGTGTTTACCAACCTCTATACAAAAACGATCATCGTGTTATATCCTCGTCCACCGCAAGGAAAGTTGGCTCCCTGAGCCGCGCCAGGAAGTTTTTCTCCCCGGAATCGATCCTCCAGATCTATAAATCAACAATTCGCCCTTGCATGGAGTATTGCTCCCATATATGGTCTGGTGCCCCTTCTGTTTGCCTCGGGATTCTTGATAGGCCCCAGAGGCGGATATGCAATGTAGTTGGCCCTGCCCTGGCGTCTCGTCTACAGTCACTTTCTCACAGATGCGCCGTCGCGTCCCTATGTCTTTTTTACAAATACTTTCATGGAAATTGCTCCGAGGAGCTGCATTCGCTGGTTCCCGTCATGACGTCATGAGTTCAAGCGACCTACGAGGCTGGCATCCAGCTCTCACCCCTTCACTGTCGAAACTCCTAAATGTAGCCGTCTCTTCTACTCTAATAGCTTCATGTCTCGCACCTTTCGCCTG